ATTCCATTTACGGCGATCGTCCTCAAGCCCAATTCTTTAACCAAAGAGTTTTGTGTTTATGTTTTGTTTTATCTGATTATTTATATACGTATATTTCATACTCATCAAATAATAAAATAGTAATAGCGATAATTCATTATGTGTACATGTATAAAATAGTTGTTCACTTATGATTGATAAAACTTATCACTTATATAAATTTTTTCAATTCATAAAATCATGATTATAATTTGATCATTATATTCTATAGTTATCGTATACACGTTTAAAAATTATATTATTTATATTATTTATAAAATATTTTATTTATTTATTTTGTTATTTCTCGTACTGCTGTTGTTAAGTTAAAAAAATATGATGTATGACAATATTTTTCTTGCTTTTTTCGCAGTTTCCATTGAGTATACAATCGAATTTAACGTACATACGCAAGTACACAGACGTAGTTACGCACGTCGTTCAATCGACTCGATGAAAAGTGCTTTAATTACTAGAAAAAAAAAAAAATTAATTGATCGATCGATCGACGGAGTGTGTACGAGGCAAAAAAAAATTAATAATGTTTCTCAATGAGTTTTGTGTCGAGCAAAAACGAGATCTTTCGCTCTGGTCAGTACGCGCGCATCGGAAGCTCAGCACAATGCTATGTGCCATTTTTTTTGTTCAGAAGCGCGCGTAATGGATTTGTCTCCGTACTCCGTATACGCGCTGCGGCGAAAGATTGTACAAATTATCATTTAGACATAATTATATACAATAATTCAACATCGTCTTGTCGTGAAAGGAGAGTACACGTATTTCACGCACATATGAGCAAGCGGAAGACAGAGAGAGTGAGGCAAAGAAAGGAAGAAAAAAAACAGCAAGAGACACACGAAAAAAAAGGCTAAAGATCTCGCTTGAGCCAGCATATGCACACACGCAGTTCGCGCAAATTACTCTCGCAGGGCTGCTCGTGCGCACACTCGTGACACACATGCCTTAATTGGACACCCTATTATTATTGTGTTGCATATAATGTCTGTGTCTGCTTGTTGTATATGCGTTATATATACGTATTTTGTGTATTCAGGTGTTTTTGTATGCGTGGGTGTATTTGTTTAAAGGAAAGCGCGCGAGCGCAGCACCGGCTAGGGTCTCTGTACTACTTTTGTTTTTGTTTACATTTTGTTTTTCTTCTCTACTCCAATGGCTGTGTGCGCGCATACATTTCGCCTCTACCCTCTCACCGCAAGCACGATTGGTTAATATCTACCTCGGCTTATACATACGTACGTATATATTTTTCTTTGTATATTTATAAATATATATATAATGATCGACTTTCAATTTTGTACTTTGAAAAAAATTTTCCCGTTCGATCATGTGCATGTAGGTGCGTGTGTAGACGTATAAAATGAAGTACATCGGCTGGCCTTTTTCTGCGGGCCCCATATTTTACAAAGGGATTACGCGTTATCTTGTGATCCAGTGTAAAACGCGCTATTCGAAAAGTATTTTCGTGGAAGCGAAAAAAGAGTGAAATAAAAGGGGGAAAGAGCAGAAAAACAGCTTGCCAATGCTGATTCTGACGGGAAATGAAGGTAAAGCGCGCCCGAGTGTAAGGCTAAAAATTGAAGCGAAACAATTTGGCATATACGCGCGTGCAAGATCTGTGTACTCGCGTACTACACGCATACACGCCCGAGCAAATGAATCAAATTGCAGTAGCAGCGAAACAAATGCCGTAATACGTATAGCGAGCGAGGCTTGGGTCATGTACGCCCGCGCTCAGGATATTCAATTTTCGCGTGCACTCGAAAAACGACAACAGCGTTAGTGCCAAGATATTCCACTCGGGGTGAAACACGATGCGCTTATATGAGAGACTTGTTCAGCTATACGTATGTCCAACAAGGCCATTTGAACGCAGATAGAAAATTTAATCACATTATCAAGAATTCGCTCGGGCTTGCTGCTAGAATCGGATAATTTTTGCGGCTATCACGTACTGATTTTTGACGCTATTCCCAATGAAATTATGCCACTATTACTTGAAAATCATTCGTTTCACTTATTCTAGTAAATTTACACTTGCATTTTGTAAAACCACTGTTGTTATTGCAGATAAGTGGGGTTACGTTGTCCAGCGAAAATGAATCGGATCGGATTATTTATCTGCTAAAAAATATATCTTTACTTATCTGTAATAACAAAAACAAAAATGCGTAAAAATTCAAAACGCCGATATGAATGAACTCAGTTTGGCCGGTCACTGTATGTTAAAATTACGAGATTTACAAACAGTTGTTTGTGCATGCTCGAGTTATCATTTATAGTAAAAACACGTGGAAATTGGAGCTAGATTTCGTTCGAAATAGCAAAAATTATCAGCCTTGAGCAAAATCTTCGTAATGATCAAATTTTGCATCATTTAATGGCAAATGTAATGTGAAGCTCGATACTTCATGTCCAGAGAAGAGAGACAGAGAGAAAGGCAAATAGAGGTGAAGGAGGCTGAAAAGCTACATATACCGATCGACCTATGTTTCCGTCATATCCGCCTTGCTTTCTGTCTCTCTCCTAGCCTATGGGCTCAAGAGGCAATTAACCTTGTGCCCATATGCCTTAGTATTTCGCTGGGTACGCAGTGGCAGCTTCCTTGCCTCCAGCAGCTTCCTGTCCCGTTTCTCTATCTCTATATATCCTCTCTCTCTCTCCGTGCAAGTGTGTCTTTATACGCTGATATGCTGCTCCTCGGGCATATCTGCATAATCACGCTCAATTCCCAATGCTAATTAGAATCCGCGCTACGTTGCAAATACAGGCGCCGCAGATAGAGGAGCGAGCGTCAACCTCCATCACCTCAGTTGCAGGCCACGCCTTGCCAACGTGTCCGTGTGAGCCGCTGCCGCTCTGACCTTATCTATATATTATAATGTATGTATCCACGCGCGCGCCTGCTTGATATAACCCCTTGAGTCCTAGCTCGATTCTTTCCTCCTTTTTTCCTCTCCTTTTCTTTTTGGCCCGAGAGTCTGTACACCGCGAGAGATAATACGCGAGCGAGAAAGGAAGAGCGAAATTCGTACGTATATTCCGGCAGCCGCAGAGACGAAAAACGAGAGGCAAATATCACGAGAGGCGAAGAAAAAATTATTCGAGAAAATTTTTCGAAAAAGCGAGAATATGCGGTCTGGCTTAGCAGCTCGAGCGCCAGCGGTGGCGGCAGCATCGATAAAAAGGCGAGTGCCTATAAAGTAAAGAGCGCGCCCAGCTCTCAAGTGTTCCCGATGGTGCGATCACGCTTCGTTGTTCTTTTATTTTTCTTTCCATCGCTCCCCATTTCTCGCTTTCTGCTTTCATCCTTCCTTCCGCTGTTCATTTCTTTATTTCAGCGTGTGCAAGAGAAAGAGAGTAAATGCGTCGGGTCCATGGACTCTAAGGGCAAAAAGAGACTGTTTCACCTCCTCACTTTTCGACAGCTAAGCATTTTAACGCGCGCCGTTTTCTTTTTTCTTTTCACAAGGATCACAAGATCGACTGAAATAATTTCAATGTTGGTTTTTCTTTTGTATACATCATGTTTCATTGTTGTTTTATTTGAAAATAATTTTGAATAGTAGAACCTACATAACATGCATCGTTTATATATTGCACATTTGATTAAAAATTCACTTGAATAATTGATTGTTCACGAGCTACAACCAAAGGAGGATTAATTTCGCTCTTTTTTGTGAATTTTTCATTTCATTATTTTATATAGATTAAAGGCTGACTTATATATGGATAAACATATATCGCACGCGCGTTATTGGTCGAACAAACCTCGTCGAAATCAGCATAATATCAAAGTTTATGTAATTAAAAAAAAATTGCGATGAATTTGCTCGACCAATCAACGACGCATTATCATTATCGTTGTCATCATCATCACCATCATCATTATCATCATCATCATCGACATCGCAATCATCATTTATTATCTTTGTCGTCAAAAAAATGGGCATTAAATCCTGTACTTTTATAACTCTATTAACGAAGCAATCTAAACTCCGTCGTCATCGATACACATCGCACAATGTGATAATGATAATAGAGAAAAAGCGTAGTAATGCATCGGAGGGAGTTTAGATAGCTTCGCGCTGCGTCGAGAGCCCTGTATATAAACCCTCGGCAGGCCGTGTGCAGACTCGGCTTGGGAGAACCGTCAAGTCTCCGATGCCGATCTGCGCGCGGCTCGCATTTTATATACAGACTCCGCCATACGAAAAATCGTCATTTACTTAAACATATATACGCACACATTGTCAGACGAGCACACACCCATAATATATTTTGTTTCTTTCGTAAAAAAACTTGTCGTTCTCGCTCTCTTTTGCACATTTTACATTTATTTGTATACTCTAGAAGGTGTCCTCGTCCAATGGATTATAAACAAAAACGGGAGAACAGCTACGCGAGACTCCAGCCTCAAGGATCGGTCATACGCGACGATACGGCGAGTCTCGCGCGGGTATTCTCGCTTCTTTTTTTTTCTTCGTTATACATAGCCCGCGTATATACGGTTTAATTAAAAAAAAAGGAGGAACGAGGCCTTAAAAAATATAACGATGCTTCTCTTATTCACTTTTTCTCGCTTTTTTTTAAATTAACGCCCGTTTACAAGTTTTGATATCTCTATATATACGCGTCAGGATAGAATACCTGCATCTTTTTGACACATACTTACAAAAAAAAAAGTAAAATAAATAAACTCATCGCATGCACACACTTTTGTTAATTATCGCACTGATCCGCGCTTGTCCATCGATTCAGCTAGCGCGCCACGTAAAAATTGCAGCGTCCCTCCAGGCTTCTCCTATCATCAACACATATTTTGATCTTTTAATTCATAAATCTGAGCTACATAATATATGCGACAATGAAAAAAAAGAGGAAAATAAACAAATACAGTTTGCAATGTTATGAGAAATTCGAGGGAGGCGCAGCTAAATGGCGAACGACGAATCGCAGCGCGAGTGTCGAGAATCGTGGACAACTGGACATTGTCGATCGAGTCTCATGTCTCTCTCTCTCTCTCTCTCTCTTTTATTAATATATTTTCTGTTGATTCGTTCGTGCAACGGTGGGGGCTGGGTCAGAGAAGGACTAAGAGTCGTAGCGATAGATATGCGTTTCATATAGAGAGAGGCGAGAGTCGATCGATCAGAAGCGGCGCGAGTAACCCTGATGATGATGAGCCGCCGAGTCGTAGAGCTTGCAGAGGCTGTCGGTCCTCGAGCCGTGTAAGCCGGGCACGGAGACCGATACCGACAGAGCCTCCTGATGCTTGAGTATCTGTCGGCGGCGCTGCCAAGCGAACGTCCACGCGGCGATGATGGCTATTTGAGCGACTAGGAATACCGTACCGGCCACGATGATCTCCCCCAGGTTCATGCACAGGCTCATGAGACCGCTGGTCGGTATGCTAGAGCTGCCGCCACCCAGACTGGACAGATCCTCGCCGATGTCGGCGTACACGTTGTCGCGGGTGTAGCTCGTCGACGAGCTGCTGATGTTGGCCTTGTGCTGCTGCTGCTGTTGCTGCTCGAAGTTGAACTTGTCGGTGATCTGGATCGACTGGACGAGCAGGAGGTCCTCTCGCGACGTCTGGCCGTGCCCGCCGCTGGTGGAGCGTCGGCGACGTCGCTTGCCGTACGAGATGACGGAGCGCAGCTCGCCCGTGGACTCCTCTTGGTCGCACTGGACGGGCTCGCAGCTGGGCATGCAGGGCGTCACCAGGGCACGGAACTGCACGACCTCCGAGCTTGGGAATTTGAAGGCGTCAAAGTGTGACAGCAGGATCTGCAAAAAATGGATAAACACATGTCGATCAGTCGTTTGAAATTTCCAATAATAGTCGTGTTTGCTCGTTCTAACGCACACACGGACAAATACGTGCACAGTACGTTTAAATTCTGAGGTAAACGCAGAATAATCGAATGCGCCGTACAAACATTACATACACACACATCCTATTGGGGCGCACAGGGCAGTGTATACTGACCAACGATAATATATATAATTACTCCTGCGGTAATAATGATAGCACTCGGTTAGCTGCAGTTACAACGATCCCCACTCCTCTCCCGCTGACTTGCAATGCTCTCTATCTCTCACCGCGTCTACGTACGCATGTACGTACCTATCTGTACGTATCCTACGCCAAAGCTATCATTTGGCGAATTTAAATTATTATATCAATATTCGCGTTGAAATATCGTTTATCGCGATGAGCGTATTTCTTACGACGACTATGTGGCGCCGCGTGTTTTGTAATTCAACGCAATTATATCGTCAACGTTGCAGCTTATGCTTGAATGCTCGATGTACTTGAAAAAAAAATTAGAAATACAGCCCGAGATTCATAATTATTTATAAAAAATAATATTTTAAAACCCGAATGATCTAAATATAACAGCTGACAATGTATGAGATAAATATTACCACGTCTCGAGGTAAGTGTCTCAGATAATGATGAAACTTATTCAAATTTGTCTCGGGTGATTGGTGAAAAGGACCATCTAGAGTAGTCGTAACTATTATCAGCCAGTATCAGTCAATGATATTATAAGCTCGTCCAAGCTTATATCTACACGCATTACGTATGCATCCCATTACGTTTTTTTACCTTTTGCACTCTCTCACAGACGTCCCCGCAATGGTATCGTATAAAACAAGCAAACATTAATCAAGCGGCGTGGCTTCTTCATGCAGATACGGAGCGAGCCGCAGCCAGAGCCGCTGCTACGCTGCGCTCGCGTTTAGAGTCACCGCAGGCTTTGAGACTTGAGAAATGCTTTCAATTTCATTGGAGCAAAGAATAAAAAAAAGGTCGAGCGAGCTTTCCTTTTTTTACGTGACGAACATACGCGAGCGCGCACGACTTTCGGCAAATTTCTACCGCAGCTTCTCATTTTTCTCGTCTCCCTCCCCCCCCCCCCCCCCCNCCCTCCCCTGCGGAGCGTGGCGGTTAATAAAATTCCCCCGCGTAATATATACATATATATATAGAGATTTATACATATACACGCGTATATATAGCCGAGGTGAACTGGCGCGGCTCAATAGACACGCGCACGTGGAAAGTACATGCGGCCGGAATATATGTTTTCCTCCGAGCGGATATTTCATCGCCGAGCGCGCGCGCGCGAACCGATCGACAGGCGCGTTATAGATTGGCTCTAAGGAGCGTGTGAAACGATCGATGCTCCAACAGAGAGAGAGGAACCGCCGCTGCACCGTAAGGCTCTTGTCTCACGTGCCTTGCTTAAAGGGCGTTTGTCTTTTTAAAAGCGATTTAGTACCTCCGGAACATTACCCCAACTGAATTTGTCGCTTTTCCTTCCCCAACACCCCAGCCGACTGCCTCTTCTTCTCTCTTTCTCTCTCCTTCTCCTTGCATCGTGTTTTTCCTCTGTGTATTTTTCCTTACTGCCTCGCCTCGCGATGCGTCAAATACGTGTACGCAATATATTTCAGGACTGTTGCAGCAGCCGCCGTCGCCACGGTTGCCGTTGCTCCAGCCAACTGTGAGATCTGGAATTTTCGATATAGCTTCTTGCCTCTCCCTCCCTCTCTCTTTCGATATGCTCTCGTAAATATTTCGCGCCTTTTGCTTCCGCGAAAGAGGATATCCTTTACGTTAGGCTATTTCTTTGCTGTAAATTCAATTGATTTTTCGTCTCGTTCCGATTTTATATATATACACCTATACGTATACAAGCGAGTCTGTATATTACGCGTGTATAAGAATCTATGCTATATACAAAGGAATTTTCAAGCCAAAGCAAACAAAGTGTACGACTTTTAGCGTATATCTCTGATTGAAAAAAACATCTATGCAGCGCGCGAGGGCTGGTTTATAGAGCGTAGCTAAAAGAGAGAGAGAGAGAGAGAAATTAATAAAAGCGAAAAATAGGAAGAGCAAAAAATGTGCTTTGATGAGAAAAATACCAGTGCTCGAACATCGATTCATTGATTTTCGCGAAGCTTAATTAAGAAAGTTATCGGTCTGGGCCCGGCCGTCGCTCTCTGTGTATACGCAAAAGACTCTCGCGCGCACGCTGCCAGTGACTGAGTGTGTGTGCGTCTGAGTGTATGAAAAACTTGAGCGATCAAAAAAGTTTCGACGTCAGCTGGCGCTCCAGAGCTCTTCAGTGTCGTATTATAACAGCAATAATAATCAAGGCAGTTATCTCTTTAAGGTATCAACACTCGGCGATATAGCCGAAGCTCTCTTTGCTCTTTGAACTTTTATCAATTTTCGCGCGAACGAGCTCATAAATAAAGTTTCGATCGTTAAAGGTTAGCCACCGCGAGAGAGAGAGAGAGAGGCTCGTCCCTGATGAGTTTAGTATATGCTGCTGCCATCACCGCGCGCAGGGATTCAAACTTAATTTATGTAGCAGCGAGTTTATAGGAAAAGCTTTGTGCGTTGCAGCTACAGCAGCAGCCCGTAATTATGTATACTATGGAACATTTCAGCGCGTACGAGTAATTATGCGTGCGGAGCGATGATATTAATCCATTCTAAATTTATTGTTGGAACAAAAAAGTCGCGCTAGCTATTCTCCTTTTTTTTGCTCAGCTCTCGGTGAGTTGACTGAGGTGTGCGCAAAACGAGTTTAATGAAAATGAATGTTTGTCCGTGGTTGAAACTAATTTTAAATTCCGAGCTTTTCTAGCCTCTTAAGTACTTTTAATCAACTTAAACGCTCGAGCACCCCGGTGCGTCTTTTGCCAACTTTTTGTTCTCTGCCTCGTTCTCTCTTTCGCGCGCGCGCGAGCTCCGCTTCAGTCTTGCTTAGACAAACATCCTCCGGCTCTTTGTTTCTTGAGCAAAGAAAGCGGCCACTTATTATATACTCGCCTGTACAGCACCTACACACAGAGGCGATCGCGTCGTGGTCTATCGAGCGCTAAAAATTACCAAGATCGGCCGCGATAATCCGTTTAATGCGCATTATAAGTAGGTGTAGGTGCAGCTGTCGCGCGCAAAGCGGCCAAAGTGGCCATCTCCAGTTCTATATAAAAGAAGGCTAGTAGAGGAGCCGATATCGTCGCGTCGTTTGCCAATCAGTTGGCGTGACGTACGAGCGACGCGCCATGTATTCCCAAGTGTATATGCGCTCGAAAGTTGGCGTGTCACGCGACTACGCGTCGTGACGCGCAGATTAGAGATGATCGCTCGAATCTGCAGTTATGCGAGAAGTAAATTAGCTCGAACTACTCTGCTCTTACCTGTGCGATAGGAAAGGAGATGGCAAAGAAGAAGAAGAAGGAGTCGAACCACCCACCCATAGGCGGCTCTCTCGTGTCTGCGTGTATGTGTGTATTATAAAATCCTCACGCGTCGACATGATTGATTAGCATGAGAAGACCGATCGTTAACTTCTATACATTTTTCCCCCCAAGGGCTCTACTCCGTGCACTCAGTTTGTGTGTATGTGTGTATGTCGCGCTCTATGATAAGCAGCACCGTTTCTAGCTTGCATAAACGCCTTCCATTCGATACAAGAGAGAGGAGAGCAGCCCTCCAGGCTGCTTATCCTCATTAAAACCCGTGCTTAGCGCTATTAATCACCTTCTCGAATATCCCGCTTACGTACGCACGTTGATACACTCGTACTCGCGGCACATACACATGCGCACGTATACGCGGAAGACTCTGTCGACGAGATGCGGAAAAATTGCATTTTGTTTGCGCTCGGCAATGCGATATTCATCAAAGAACGGCAGCGATCGCATAGACCTTATGATTATCGGCGCACAGCTGTGTACGCGTATGTACATACGTATGCACACAACGGATTATATTATTATTAATTCCAGACTCGAATCGAAAGTAAATCACCGTTTGGCCGTATACATAAGCTGCCTCGTGCGCTTTGAAATATCATTGGCCAATATCGTCGTGGTTGCAGAACAGCGAACTGCGGGAAGCGCTGTTGACCGAGTCGCGATTAATCTTACCTTTCCGGAAACGGTTGACTTGTAAAGCGGCCCCATGATCACATGGTCGGTGGGGCATCCCCTCGAGTCGATCAGTACGATCTCGCTGGAGTCGACTCCGTCCATGGCGACGAGCTCGCGCACGAAGATCTCGTAAGGGCTGTTCGGATCGAGGATCTCGAACTTCAAGGCGAGCGGGTCGCCGACCTCGGCCGACGGGATGGCGTCGAGGCCGTTGCGGTCGGTGATCTTCATGGCCACGTTGGGCGAGTCGACCACGACCTCCTCGGTCAGCACCGGGTTGATGTCGCCGTGCACGCCGAGGTCCACCTCGTTGGACACGGTCTTGTTGGTGAGGTCGTACTGGCAGGTGACCGCCAGGCCCAGATCCGAGCTCGTGACTATGGTGTCGTGGTGCTGGATGACCACGTCGTTGAGGTAGCGCCCGAGGCCCTGCTGCTTGACGTTGCACTCGAGATCGTCGTAGGCCATGCGCAGCTCGAACTCGAGGGCGCCCTTGACGTCCTGCACGCACGAGTTGGGCGAGCCCTTGGCGTAGACCTTGCCGTTGAAGAGCTTGCTGGTCTGGATGCGGGCGACCATGTCGCCGGCCAGGCAGTCTATCGACACGTTGTAGCACGAGCTCAGCTCGTAAGTCGAGGCCTCTGGCACGTCGAGGTACGGATCCTGTAAAAAAAAACACGCGCAGCGGAAAATGCCTTTCATTAGTCTCGAAGCTTCTTTATTCTCGCGCTTTGTCCGCTGCAATTTGTATCGCGAGCGATTAGCGATTCGAAGGCTCAGCCCCTACTGCCCCAGCAATTTCATTATATTCTCGGAAAAGCAGCGCACTGGCACGTATTTATAATAATGCCGCCGACGCCGCCGTACAGGACAGCGGTAATAATGTAATAATTTTGCGGCAATAAATCTCGAGGAAATAAGCGGAGTGTCTCTCACGGATAACACGACAATGGAATGACAGTAGTAGCTGCTGAGCGCGCAATATACCAGCGGACGCCGCATGTAATACGTCCTCCTCTATACGTGTATATATCTATAATATAATACATATAATATAACAGCAGCAGCAGCAGCGGCCACAAAGAGAGGAGGCCCAGACACAAGATTAATAGACTGGTGCGTCGCTGCTGCTGCTGCTGCTGCTGCTACTACTAGTCTCGTGCTGTGCATGTAGCCTACCGTAATATCGGATAGAGTAGCACGGGAATGATGACTAAGTCGGCAGACCATGTCGCCTGTGTCGCCGTAATCGTACGAGTGACAGCGGAAGGGCGAGTTGAGGCAGAGCTCGCGACACTCCTCGGCCGTCGCTACGTCCTGATAGACCGAGTCGACCGTCTTGAGGATGCGCCCGGTGATTTTCTTGAATTCGCACAGCTTCACGGGCTCGTCGACGCAGTGGTTCTCCAAGTAGTCCACGTTCTTGGCCACTTCCAGGGCGTTGCTCGAGCCGGCCACCGTCAGCCTGTCCATGTCCGACAGCTCGCACAATTTCGACACGTTGTGGTAGTTGGCCGATCTGCAATAGAAATTCAAATGCTTAGTACTCGTATTTTTCATTTAATTATTTTTTATTAATCATTAATATTTATTTTTTATCTTGGGAAGATTTTCTACTGTCAACAACGCCATTTTGTTTTGAGGTACGCGAGATTTTCTCCGATGTACAATTATCCTAACGAAGAAGGAGCAGTAGCATATTTTTTTTGGTTCAGCATTGAAATCGTCGTTGGAAGACGATTATTCTTCCTTCCACCACTTCGTTGTTAGCAAAAGTTCGCCAGCTCGGGCATCGGGAAAGGCTCTCTTGTTTAAATTAATCAGGAAACAATTGAAATGCTAATCGCGCCGGAGGTTAACTTGCAGAAATGGTGTTATTACAGCTAGAGCAAGTTCCCCCCTCCATATCCCCTTTCCACCTCCATCCCTCTTATACGTTAATGGAAAGATCTAGCCGAACTGCATTATATACGTATGAATATATACATGATGTGAAATGCGGCTAAACTGCACGACTGTGAGTGCGCGCGTACACGTGTTTACGAGAAATCACTCGAACTTTGAATAATGATGCCTTTTGCAGAGATCAACTATAGAAATATATAAGAAATGGCTGCAAATAACTCGATATTCGAATTGCTTGAATTGCTTTCTTGTGCCAGAGCTTTGCGCAAATGACGAAATTGGTTTGCGAAAAAATTATTTTAATCAACGCAAAATCGAAGCGTGTGGCTGCAAACTAAATTTTACGCCCTCGAGTAACCGGAGCAGTATTTTGCACAATAATTGATACGGATCGCGAACACTGCAAGGTGAGAAGAGAGAAAGAGAGAGATAGGAAAAGGTGGCAAATCCCTTTATGAATTTTTCATCCAATTTAGTTTTTATGGGTCGCTTTTGATAATATTATTACTAAAGCCCGGGCTAGAGATGTGCACTCTCTATCTCGTCATCTGCTCGCGAGGCAAGTCCTTTTTCCGGGGGAAATTTATTCACTCGCTCGGCGATCGAAAGATTATATTGCCTTTAAAACTTGAATAATATTCATGAGCAATGAGCATGCCTCGCTCTCCACAGCACCAGAGCCTTATGATTTCAATATTCTCGCGCATTTTTATCGCTGATGTTGGCAGCAGTCAAAAAATCACCACTTCTCCCCGAGCGAGGAGCGACTGAGCGCCCGAAAGAGCTAAGCGCGGAGAGAACGAGAAAAGAGAGGGTTATATGCGATTCGTGCGCGATAAACTAGATTGCCTATAATCGAATGCCTCGACCAAGATTCTCTACTTCTGTATAAAGCATCCTTGGCGCGGTCTCGCGACTTCATCCCTCTCTTTCAATCTCACCCTCGTGCTCGAGAAAGCTCGTATATGCCACTCATGTTAAACCTCCCGTATTTTTCATCTTTAAATTGAAACCGCGACTATATTCAGCTCGCTCTATCTCTCTCCCTTTCCCTCTTCCTCTCTAGAGGTCTCGATAAAATTTTTCGATTAACCGCATAAAGCCTTCATACTTTGCGTGTACTTTGCAGCAACGTAATTTTTTTTTTCTTAACTCCTTCGGAATGAGATGCGATCGCGATCAAAGAAAAAAAATATAGGATTATTTTAGTAACTGCGCGCGGCGCAGTTTATCATTCGAGGCCAATAAGAAAGTTTCGAATGAAAAGCTCGCCCCTCCTCCTTCTCCCCATAACGATTGCTACTGTGCAATCCTCAATTTAGTTGTCTTTATTTTGTCTTCATCAAGCCCACGAGCAAAGCACGAACAAGAGCCTGAACGAAAAAATAAGAAAAAAAAGTTGCGAATCCCTAAGAAGAGAAGAAGTAGAAAGAAGAAAAGAAGCCGAGCGGGAAATAGAGGAAAAGAATTACAAGTGGAACGCCGGACTGCATTTCGATGAATCTCAAATTATTCTTCGATTCTCCACTTTTTATTTTTTTATTTTGCTTTCTTTCCCCCGCTACTAAAAGCTTGCGCCCAACTTATTTATACTGAATACAATTTCGAATCTGCTTTAGTTTTTTCTGCGCTTTGTCGTTCTTAATAGCTGATGTAGCTGGAGGTCGCAAGCCAACATTACATTAGCTATTAAGGACGCCTTTTAAAAGTGATATTTTCTTCGTTTTCAAATTCAACCATCATAAATAACGATTGTTGAAAAAATTCCGCGTGGAAATCAATATACAAAGTATAATGCATGTACATGAGTACGCAAAGTTTCTCAATTTTTTTTCTTGCGTATACTCGTGCATCAGTCCACCGAACTCAATTACGAGAGCTACCACTCAAACTGTATAGTTGCCCTCTACAGCTCATTAATCAATGCCACTCGACTTGTATGGTTGCCGCATGCATATATCGTTACGAAATGCGATGTGAAATAAGTAAAGGGAAAGCCCTCTGTCTATCAGACTCGCTATTTTCAAGGGTCAATTTCGGAATGGTAATGTCCGATGCATTTACAGTTTTCGCGCGGTGAAAGCTCATTTTTTATCACCCTCCCAAAGATCATTTGCATGTTTGCCTCGGCGCGCGCTGCATTGATCGGATAAATGGCAACAATTACCGATATTTTATACCGTCTGGGTGGTACAAAGCACCCTCATATCAAGAGCGATGCAGCTCTCCTGTACACCGCTGGTTTCTTCATTTTATATTTTTTTTTTTCAAAGTATACTGCGCTGCAGTCTGGCGGCGGTGTGTACACATTTCCACGCGGTAACTCTCCTGACGTTTTTCTACCTCTGGGAAAATACCAACAGCGCCGGAAAATAGTACTAGTACACGGCGTCGACAGTAATTTCAACCTGCTCCTACGCCGATATAGCTATACGCGTGGAAAGAAAAAATGCCACGCCAGTTTGAATGATGAAACGCAGCGGCGGCATCAACTTAGCAGGTGGGCGTGCGCGCGTTATGTAACTGCGTGTAAAAGCAAATATTGTGCCGCACAAATAAGCGAGCACGCGTACAAGTCGCGCGCAAGTCAATTTTTCCCCCCGGAATATTTCACTTTCGGTATAGCAAACTGGCGCAGAGGTTTTCTTTCTTTGAAAAACTCGGCTGATTAATGTTATTTTGAGGGATCTCGTAGGTTTTGCAGGCTACACAGTCGATGATACTTGGCTTTCTCTCGAATTTTACACGCGTTGAGATTTTTGGGAGGCGAAATTTCGAATCGAGTCCCTGGTGTATCGTCAAAAGGAAACGACAAGGACGATAAGCTCGATAATAGCTCAGTGTATCCAGGTTCTACTGGTGCTGCTGGTGGCCGAGCTTAGTTATATATATTCAAAATGCTGAGAGTGTCGAGACCGAAGCTGTGTGTGTGTGTGTATGTGCGTCGAGTTTGCCCCCTCGAGTGTAGAGGATATCAAGGGACCCTATTCAACTCTAACATGTACACACGTGACTATGGACAGAGCCGTCTGTGTGAAGGTTGAGCAGGCGATGTAATTACGATAACGTTAATGTAAGGGTAGTAGTTATAGTAGCAGCAACAGCAGCAGTAGTAGTAGTAGTAGTAGTAGTAGTAGTAGCACACTGCCGGTCCAAGCTTGTGGATTTCTCGTGTGGTTATATACAGCCAAGCTCCCGACCTAAGAGGCGCAGCAGCCAACTAAGAAAATCAAGAGGTGTGATTGTGACGTATAGGCCAAGAGAGAAATACAGAGAGAGAGAGAGAGAGAGAGAGAGAGAGAGAGAGAGAGTAACAGGTACTTCCATCTTTTGCCTGGATTTCTCGATGGCACGAAATTCGACGCTAATTACCGATTCATTTGCAATACCTTTGGCTTCGAGAGCTTCAAGAGCCGACTGCCTGTCACTGACTGGACGTTGCCGATCTTTCGTATTTTCTGACAGCCGCAATAATTGTCGCAGGGTCGAAAGAAAACAAAAAAATGAGAAAAATTAATCGGCAATTAAGCTGCGACTTTGTCGTTGGCGTGCGCGAGCGCCTACGTTAACAAAAACGACATCAACAATGAAAACAACAGCGGCGCAACGACGGGGCAATTTATCGGCCTTTGAATCAGTTTCGATATATAAATACAAAAGCTCGTAGCTGCTATACGCGCCATTGGCAGACGCATTCGCGCGCGTGTATGTATATTCAAACAGGTGTAATTAGTGCCCCCTCGCTGCTACACGCGAGCCTGAAATGAGTTTTTATTCGTGTCCAGCTGCATCGCGCTCGTACCTACATGTATACGGTCCTAGAATCGTGTAAATTAATTACACGCGTTCTGCGCTCTTTAAAGCTTTTGCGAATCGATGTACGTACGTCCGGAATTTAATACGAAATTTGCGTGCGTGTCCGTGTCCGCTTCTGTATGCGACCGTCTGTCTGTGTGCGTGCATGTTTGTTAGTGTGCGCGCGCGAGCCGGTGTGCATTTCTGTTCGTATACACTCGTTCCTCCATATATATATCTCGTTCGCTTTTATCCATGAAAATGATACGCCGAAGCAGATGAAATGCATACGCAGCATCAGTAGCACCAGACGTGCACTTAAATTGCACCGTGCATAACAGTAATGACGTCGATAAATTGATCGCTGTCGATGTCGATTATACTCCTCTCTTTCTCTCTTTCTCTGTCTATGTTCTATGTGTGCGCATGCATAGGGGACGAATGGCGATATAGCTTATGCACTGCAAGATCTAATTTTCATTTTGATTTATACCGAGAGAGAAAGAGAAAAACTGCCTGTATCATTCGGCACAAAAGCGGAAAATTTCTAGAAAAAAGTCGAGAGCCAGCCGATTGCTATTTTAAAATTGTTTTTCCAAGCTGGTGTGGCATCGCGCGTTGTGCACCTGTGCATTATCTTACTTACTAATGAATTGTATCTTTAATGGTCGCGCGCAAGGGAATATAAATACACAATTAATTGCTTATATCAATGTATTTGCATAATATGCAAATCGAAGGCGAGGAAAGAGGGAAAATCGATCTTGATTTCTCGAGAGGAAACTGACCACACGTGCATATGTATAACCTATTCCGCGC